CCCCCGTTCATGCTCTGTCTCTCTCTGTCCCAAAAATAAATAAACGTTGAAAAAAAAAATTAAAAAAAAAAAAAAAGAAAAGGAACGGTCTTATCTGGACAACTGAGACAGTCTCACAAGATTTCCAGAATGGAATAGATACTCAGATTCTTTCCAGTTGCTTATGTGTCCCTTACCTTCCCCAATGATCTCAGGGCCAATCTGAGTTCATTTGGGATGGAACTGCACACTTTGCTGTAATAAATGAAGTGTGTCTAAGAGCCCAGGTACAACCCAGAGCCGGCCAGCCTGCTCCCCAGGTGCAGGGGAAGGAGAGGGTGACTTAACACCTTCCCACTGTTCGGAAGACCACTGGAAGTACTTGACACAGCCATGGTGGCTAATTCCACACTTGAACAGCTTCATTTTCCCTGGTTTCTTTTTTCCTCTCTAATCCGTTGTTCAAAAATTCCCTTTATTCTTAGTTGAAAACTTCCCCAAGCGCATGTACCTTAATAATTATAATAAACACAAGGTCTTGAAAGGGGGTTAAAAAGGTGGTTATGGGGGCACCTGGGTGGCTCAGTCGGTTAAATGTCTGACTCTTGATTTTGGCTTAGCTTATGGTCTCATGGTTTGTCAGTTCAAGCCCAGAGTCAGGCTCTGTGCAGCACAAAGCCTGCTTGGATTCTCTCTTCCTCTTTCTCTGCCCCTCCCCTGCTATCTCTCTCTCTTTCTCAAAATAAATGAACATTTAAAAAATAAAATAAAATATGCTTTAAAAAAAAAAAAAAGCATTTTTCACCAGAAAAAGAGGAAAGGCTTGTAAAATGCAAAGATAAAGACCCAAGAATTTGGACAAAGAGAAGAAGGAAGGAATGGGGATATTTGTTTTCAGTATGTAAACGAGATTCCTTTTCTTGGTGTTATCAGAGCAAGGCTATAGGTTATGCATTTGCTTTGGAAATAACTTCCCTGACACAACTTTACACTGAGGTTTCTGAGTCTTCTACAATAGTTTTGACAGATATATATTCTGAAAGGGTGTGCTGCTTGCATTACTAGTTATTTCATTAGTTATATCATCTCATCAGTCAGATATGATAACAGGTCCACCTTAATTCAATGATAAGAGTCAGCCTCAGTAAATGTATTTTCTCAAATATTAGCCTATAAAGCATTTTTACAATGAGCAATATATTTCTTCGGCCAGAAAAGAAACATGGACGTGTTGTTCACATTTAAAAATAATGTTTGGAATGCTAAATTATACCATGTAATATTTATAGAACACTCAACTTAGAGTTTCTAATGTATTTTCGTTTACATATCATCTGATTCCCCCAAATCCCTGAGGAAGGCAGAGAAAATATTACAGAGCTTTTACATTTTAAAAATTAAGTTACATGGGGCACCTGGGTGGCTCAGTCGGTTAAGCGTCCGACTCTTGATTTTGGCCCTAGGTCACGATCTCCCGGTTAGTGAGTTCGAGCCCTGCATCAGGCTCTCTCTCTTCATCTCTCTCTCTGCCCCTCCCCTGCTTGTGCACGCAAGCTCTATCAAAATAAATAAAGTTTAAAAAAGTAAAAAATTGTTACACAACTACAGCAATGTGAACATAATGTTAAATAGAAAACCATATTCATCTAAATCCTGTA